AGGATATAGTCGGCCGATCCCGGCCGTTCCGACTTATATACTGCGTGCAAAGGAAAGAAGGGTGTGTGCAAAGTTTCAATTCGATAGCTTTAAAACTGAGAGACTAGTTTGCGTAGAAACAGACAGACGGACAGACAGACGGACAGACGGACATGGCTATATCAACTCAGGAGGTGATCCTGATCAAGAATATATATACTTTATAGGGTCGGAGACGTCTCCTTCACTGCGTTGCACACTTTTGACCAAAATTATAATACCCTCTGCAAGGGTATAATAAAGGAATATATCACGAATTGCGAAATTTGTAATACAAATAAATACAACAGAAATTCTGACTAAGTACAAATTTTCTTATATGTACCAGAAGCTCAATAACAATTCTAAATTAGGTTTAAAGGTAAATCTGAAAAGATCCTGACGAAATTTGGTATGTCGGATTGATTGGCCAAATAAAAAACCCATACAAAATCCCAATTTCCTAACTTTAAAAACACCAATGTTATGACATTTCCGATTGTTCCGTTATATGGCAGCTATAGGATATAGTCGGTAGAAATTTGGTAGGTCGGATTGATTGGCCAAAAATAAAACCCATAGAAAATCCCAACTTCCTAATATTACAAACACCAAAGTTATGGCATTTCCGATCGTTCAGTTATATGGTAGCTATAGGATATAGTCTGCCGATCCTTATGAAATTTGGTAGGTCGGATTGATTGGCCAAAAATAAAACCCATAGAAAATCTCAACTTCCTAACTTTACAAACACGAAATTTATGGCATTTCCGATCAATCAGTTATATGGCAGCTACAGGATATAGTCGGCCGATCCCGGCCGTTCCGACTTATATACTGCGTGCAAAGGAAAGAAGGGTGTGTGCAAAGTTTCAATTCGATAGCTTTAAAACTGAGAGACTAGTTTGCGTAGAAACAGACAGACGGACAGACAGACGGACAGACGGACAGACGGACATGGCTATATCAACTCAGGAGGTGATCCTGATCAAGAATATATATACTTTATAGGGTCGGAGACGTCTCCTTCACTGCGTTGCACACTTTTGACCAAAATTATAATACCCTCTGCAAGGGTATAATAAAGGAATATATCACGAATTGCAAAATTTGTAATACAAATAAATACAACAGAAATTCTAGACTAAGTACAAATTTTCTTATATGTACCAGAAGCTCAATAACAATTCTAAATTAGGTTTAAAGGTAAATCTGAAAAGATCCTGACGAAATTTGGTATGTCGGATTGATTGGCCAAATAAAAAACCCATACAAAATCCCAATTTCCTAACTTTAAAAACACCAATGTTATGACATTTCCGATTGTTCCGTTATATGGCAGCTATAGGATATAGTCGGTAGAAATTTGGTAGGTCGGATTGATTGGCCAAAAATAAAACCCATAGAAAATCCCAACTTCCTAATATTACAAACACCAAAGTTATGGCATTTCCGATCGTTCAGTTATATGGTAGCTATAGGATATAGTCTGCCGATCCTTATGAAATTTGGTAGGTCGGATTGATTGGCCAAAAATAAAACCCATAGAAAATCCCAACTTCCTAATATTACAAACACCAAAGTTATGGCATTTCCGATCGTTCAGTTATATGGCAGCTATAGGATATAGTCGGCCGATCCTTATAAAATTTGCTAGGTCGAATTGATTGGCCAAAAATAAAACCCATAGAAAATCTCAACTCCCTAACTTTACAAGCACTTAAGTTATGGCATTTCCTATCAATCAGTTGTATGGCAGCTATAGGATATAGTCGGCCGATCCCGGCCGTTCCGACTTATATACTGCGTGCAAAGGAAAGAAGGGTGTGTGCAAAGTTTCAATTCGATATCTTTAAAACTGAGAGACTAGTTCGCGTAGAAACAGACAGACGGACAGACAGACGGACAGACGGACAGACGGACATGCTTATATCAACTCAGGAGGCGATCCTGATCAAGAATATATATACTTTATATGGTCGGAGATGTCTCCTTCACTGCGTTGCACACTTTTGACCAAAATTATAATACCCTCTGCAAGGGTATAATAAAGGAATATATCACGAATTGCGAAATTTGTAATACAAATAAATACAACAGAAATTCAACACAAATCCCTATCGGAGAAGCTCCAATTCCAAAAATAGAAGGTCAAAATTTACATATTGATATTTATTACGCACAAAATCTAACGTTTTTAACTTGCATCGATTCATACTCTAAATACCTCGTTGTAAAAGAAATTAGTAACAAAAAAAACATTGACTCAAAAGTATACGAATTACTTCAAACATTTCCACTAGTAAAAACAATTATGACAGATAACGAGCCGAGTTTCGTATCGGCACAGTTTAAATCCTTTTTACAACGTTCTGGAATATCAATTTATTATACAGACCCTAGACATAGCCTATCCAACGAACAAGTTGAAAGAGTTCATTCAACCTTAACAGAAATAGCTCGTTGTATTAAAGACGAGTACCGCCTCCTAGATTATTCTGAAATTATTATAAGAGCAGCAAAAAATTACAATTTGACAATTCACTCAGTGACAAACCAAAAACCTTACGACATCTTGTTTAATAAAATAAATCATAGCGACTTACCAGTCAAATTACAGATAGCACAAACTAAAATGTTAGATCATCAAAATAAAAATAGATTACAAAAAAATTATCACGTAGGAGAAGTAGTATACGAAAAAAGATTCGAAGAGAGAAACAAACTAAATCCAAGATTCAAAAAACAAGTCGTTCAGGAAAACTTACCAAACAAAGTAATAATTAATAATACAAATAGAATTATTCATAAAGATAATATTAAATAATTCATCTCTTAAGCCTAGTATCCAGATCGACAAACGATTACGCTAGCGTAAAAACTTTAATCTTTCCAGTGTGACCAAAATTTTTAGAGTTCATCAGATATAAGCGTGATACGGTCGTACTGTCAATCAGCTGGGTTTGTTGACAAGCAGTTAAAATTCAAATATCGTATTTGCGGGAAAGAGCCTTTAAAAGATATCATCAGATACCTTGGCAAGACAAGTCTGCTGGTGTACAAAGAAATTAAAAAACAATACAATTTAAATTTAACAGTTGGTTTTTTTAATTTACTGATAATTATAAGTGCATAGCTGCACTTTTATTGTGTTTTTTCGCACATTCTGGACCTAAAAAACATTTTGCTCTGACAGGAGGCACCCCAGATAGTATTAATGTTATTTTGTCCTCACATGTAAACACCTGCAATCGACTTTTGTGAGTTTTTTGAGTTTTTCCCTCCATTTCTTATAATGTTCATTGAGAAGCGCACGCCAAAAGATTAAATTTTTTAATCTTTTCGCTAGGGTTCACCCAAAACTCATTTCCGCAGACTGGCAACGCTATGGAATATTTACTACTTAAAAACGAAAACGATGTAATGACTTACGACTCCTTTGAGGACCTATTCCATACTACTAATTTAAGTTTTTACAAAGAAATAATTCAAATTGAAAATAATATTAGTAATAAAAGTCCGAATTCTGAATTAGAATGGGACATTGCACAAAATTTAAACATTATTAAAATCCTCATGTCCCAACTATTACCATCTAGAAATAAAAGGGGTATTAACGAATAGGGAACCGTATGGAAGTGGCCATCAGGTACACCCGACCATGACGACTTAATAAGAATTGAAAATAAAATTAACGAACAAACAGAAAACAATAACAAACAACTTACAATAAACTCACGAATATTTCAGGAAGTACAATTAATCACCAAAACCCTTGATTCAATCATTTTTAAAAAAGAAACAAAAGTAAGACAACATCGTCTGAAATTAATTACACTCGATATTCAAAATTTAATCGATACTATCACTTTAGCAAAAGTCGACGTTTTCAATACAAAAATTTTAAATGAAAAAGACATAAAAGAAATCTTTAGACACGAAAATAAACCAATTGTTCTATCAGATTTACTAGACATTTCAACATTCAAAATAGTAAAAAACCAAGATTTACTTATAATATATATAAAAAACCCAATAATTAATAATATTTGTAGTTTGTATACATTAAGGGCAATTGCCCAAAATAATGGAAAATTAATAATAGACGATAAGACAGCGTATTGTAACGGAATATTTTATAAGATAACAAATTTTAAAAAAGAAATATTTAATAATTATTGTAAACTTTCTAACGAGAGTTCCTGTTTCATAAATTTATTAAATGGAAAAAAAGCAAACTGTTCAAAAATTAGGAAAAAAATAAAAACTTTGAAAATTTAGATGATGGCGCCATTCTCCTCACCGGAGAAAACATTGTTAACGAGACAAAATTAAACGGCGCATTTCTGATTTTATTTAACGAAAGCATCGTCATTAATAACGTAAAATACATTAATGAAAAGCAAAAAATGTTAGAATACATAACACAATATAAATATAATAATTATATGATCACAGACTACATCTTCTCAAACGATTCCGAATTAAGTTTAGATAACATAAACATCATAAATCCATTTTTAAAAATCGGAAATACAAAAATACCCCTAGAGCTAATATTGTTAATATTAATAATTACCTCCTTAATCATATACAAATCACCCAAAATCTTAAACAAAATAATACAACATATTCAAAAAAAACGCACCAAAAGAGCCAAGCTTGAGACAGACGTAAACAAATTCCCCCTAGCTAGCCGCCAAAGGCCAGCCAAACTTTAGACTAAACACCCGTTAGAATCCCAACACCGCGAACCCTCTTTTTAGGCATCGCGTTCGCTTCCAAATTTTCCATGCTGATCACAGCAATCTTAATCGGGAATTAGCTTCGGAAACCAAGACTTCGGAAAATTACGAGGATAAACTTTAAAAGCTTCGATCCCGAGGCAACAAGGGAAGAGAACCAACTCAAGCTTGGGCAGTCGTGAAATAAGTCTAAGATTGATTGTATTCTAAGTCTAAGTGAAGTTTATCTAATAAAAATTATATTTTTTTAAATACATTCGGTATCGTATTTGTAATTTGCATCTCGGGATCAGTTTGTTTATCTGGTATTTCGGCTGAAATAATCGAATCAATTTGATCTGGTCGGATCTTGTCGAACATCCAAAGCAGAATGTGTGCATGTGGTAGGCCACGCTTCTGCCACTCAACCGAGTACATCCAACCACTAACTGCGCCAAAAACCTTCTGCTTAACGATGTAATTCATAAGTACTGTGATCTTTTGCTTGAATACTCGTGCAGTGATATCAGGTCGATCGCTAGATGTTTGTCCTGGAAGCAACAGATTCGTAATTTCGGGCCATTTCGGATTGCATGTGAACGTTATGAATAAATCCGGGCGTCCGTAATTACGGACATACGTCATCGCATCTTGAGCGTACTCATGCATATGGCGCGGGCTTCCAACATAAGTAGCTGGGAGAATGGTCAAACAAACGATGTTGGCCGCGTGACCTTCAGTAGCGATGGCGTCAAGCAAGTGGATGTACTCGTCTGAGCGCAACTTCGACTGATTGAAACGAATGAAATTGAGACGCTCCGTTTGTACTTTGACGTACATGTCGACACAGTACTGATGAAACAATCGGCGGTATCTCAACAGATGATTGTCAACATCTAGGCGAATCATCAATCGATACGCATAAAAATTCATAGAGCTGACCTTCTTATTCGTTTCTTCTCCTAAAATTTTAATTCAAACTTATTTGTAGAATCAAAAAGATGTGATGACTTGTAAACAAACCTGTCGTTGGATTGACCATCTTTATGTTGAAGTGATACCCATCTTCTCCACGACAGAACATCAACGGGTATTGAAGTGCATCATATGACCGATGAGTCTCATAAACTCGCTGCAAGCGGCAATCATCCCGACGCTTGAGAACAATATCGCGTGATTCCACATTCTCGCCAACAATCACCACTGCGACTTCATTAATAGTGGGAGCATTAAATTGGCCTTTTGTCAGCGCTGATAATGATTTTGTGGTCGTCAGAATGCATTGTATCCAATGCGGTTTTGAACAATCCGGCCAATTCATTACGCTCATGCAGAAGATTTTGCAATTGTTGTATAATTTCACGTTTAGTTGCAGTGAAAATTGCACAACGCTGATTTAGTTCATCTTTCGAATCACCAATGAAGTAGATCTGAAGGAATTTATGATCTTTGTTTGGTGGGGGTAACAAAACGCCCGCTCGATGGTGAATTTGCCCGTGAATCTGAATGTTGGGATGCAATTTTGAAAAAATGAGATAATAAAGCGACGCCATTACCTTATAAATCGGATTGTAGCCTGGTTGATGAACAACCTCGGCTCCAATAGACGTCATTTGAAAGCATCCGTTATATTTTTGTGCAAGCTTTAGGAAGCTGTTTGATTGGGCTGAATTTCCATATAGTAGCGAATACAATGGCTCTGGTGGATGAACCAAAACGGGCAATTTAATTTTGCCACCTGCACAGCATAAGCCGGGGGTTTCCAATCGAAACTTCAGTGCAGTGCAATGCTGACATACGACAGACAATGAACCAATAACAACGCAGCTATAATCTTTGTAGGGTGTTTCGGAATGTTATGCGAATGCAGCGCGATTCAAGTTATCATTTGCGGCTGGTCTTCTTTTACTCACATTTTGTCGGGCAAAATGCCGATGCATTTATTTGTGCACGTACCTCTTGCGTTTGATTATTACGGACATTCTGAGAATGTATCGCATTTCGTGAACGCCGTCCAAGTCTTGATCTCAAAGCAGGAATTATTTCCAATTAAAACTTTGGCAATGCTTCGTTAACTCGATTTTTTACAGTTTTATGTACAACAATGAAGGCATTATTTCCAAAGCCTGCTGTTTAAACAGTTTTATGTACAACAAGAAAGGAAAGCTAACTTCGGGCGGAGCCGAAGTTGAAATACCCTTGCAGAATATTCTGCAAATTATATTCTCCAAAATTATTCATATGATGAATTCTTAATACTCATACAAAATCCCACCTTCCTAACTTTAAAAACACCAAAGTTATGGCATTTCCAATCGTTCAGTTATATGACAGCTATAGGATATAGTCGGCCGATCATTATGAAATTTGATAGGTCGGATTGATTGGCCAAAAATAAAATCCATAGAAAATCCCAACTTTCTAACTTTACAAACACCAAAGTTATGGCATTTCCGATCAATCAGTTATATGGCAGCTATAGGATATAGTCGGCCGATCCTTATGAAATTTGGTAGGTCGGATTGATTGGCCAAATATAAAACCCATAGAAAATCCTAACTTTACAAACACGAAAGTTATGGCATTTCCGATCAATCAGTTATATGGCAGCTATAGGATATAGTCGGCCGATCCCGGCCGTTCCGACTTATAAACTGCGTGCAAAGAAAAGAAGGGTGTGTGCAAAGTTTGAATTCGATATCTTTAAAACTGAGAGACTAGTTCGCGTAGAAACAGACAGACAGACGGACAGACAGACGGACAGACGGACATGGCTATATCAACTCAGGAGGTGATCCTGATCAAGAATATATATACTTTATAGGGTCGGAGATGTCTCCTTCACTGCGTTGCACACTTTTGACCAAAATTATAATACCCTCTGCAAGGGTATAACAATGAATACATCTCTTGAGCCGATAGCGACTTTTCCGGCAGGTTTTCCCAATATTTTCTTATGCATTAACCTTCTTCTGGCAATTACAAACAACTGAAAAAAAATTTGAGCCAAATCGGCCCACCCGTTCTCTTGTTTTGCGATGTCGTACATTTTTTGCACCATTTTTATACCCTTGCAGAGGGTATTATAATTTTGGTCAAAAGTGTGCAACGCAGTGAAGGAGACATCTCCGACCCTATAAAGTATATATATTCTTGATCAGGATCACCTCCTGAGTTGATATAGCCATGTCCGTCTGTCTGTTTCTACGCAAACTAGTCTCTCAGTTTTAAAGCTATCGAGTTGAAACTTTGCACACACCCTTCTTTCCTTTGCACGCAGTATATATGTCGGAACGGCCGGGATCAGCCGACTATATCCTATAGCTGCCATATAACTGATTGATCGGAAATGCCATAACTTTGGTGTTTGTAAAGTTAGGAAGTTGGAATTTTCTATGGGTTTTATATTTGGCCAATCAATCCGACCTACCAAATTTCATAAGGATCGGCCGACTATATCCTATAGCTGCCATATAACTGATTTATCGGAAATGCCATAACTTTGGTGTTTGTGAAGTTAGGAAGTTGGGATTTTCTATGGGTTTTATATTTGGACAATCAATTCGACCTACCAAATTTCATAAGGATCGGCCGACTATATCTCATAGCCGCCATATAACTGAACGATTGGAAATGCCATAACTTTGGTGTTTTTAAAGTTAGGAAGTTGGGATTTTTTATGAGTATTAAGAATGCATCATATGAATAATTTTGGAGAATATAATTTACAGAGTATTCTGCAAGGGTATATCAACTTCGGCTCCGCCCGAAGTTAGCTTTCCTTTCTTGTTATATATATATATAGGGTCTGAAATCCTTCCTTCCTTCTACCTGTTACATACTTTCCGACGAATACAATATAACCTTTTGCTCTACAAGTAACGGGTATAAAAAGCTATTGTGCAACTAAGTTATTTAAACTAGTAACAAGTCAAATGGAATGAGCGATAATGATGAGCGATGACGTCAAAAGGTAAGCTTTACTTTTATAATAAGCTAACATATGAATTTATTATTTATTATATATAAATATAAAGCTGGAGGGAAAAGACGGCATAGAAAAAACGTGCAGCTCCCGTGGGACCGCTGCAAAGTTATTCATTACATGGCGGATGGCAGTAAGGTTGCCGCTCATCTAGTAAACGGTGTAAATCGGCTACGTTCCCGGCCCCTCAAATACTTCAGAATGCCTGCTGCGATGTTGGCAACTGCATGTTTTTTGGTTAAACTATACAATACGCAGCCGCATGTGCGTCAATCGTTCGGAACTGGCATAGTTCGACTAGTTTTGATTAGCTGGATCCTAATGTTTGAGCTTCCAATCCTTTGCTCTGCTAGGTTACAATTGGGATTGCTCCAGCTACCACCTCGAGTTGCGCAGCTTGCATTGTCGGATGCACGTTGGACACTTAGTAGCTTCGGCCGATATAAACGTAGCGTACAGATTAGACTTCTGGATGAATGTACTCATTTGTAGCATAGCAGATCTGTACAGTAGTATAGTGTTCTTAAAAAAATACTGCACTCATTCTTTACTGTACAGTGTACTCTATAGGCCAGAAGAAGATAGCACAACATTTTCAGTGTACTCACTTCGAGTGAGTACAGTATATGCTTGTAGTCTTCGAGAGTGTGTACATTTGTCCTTTTTTAAACACGCTGTACAGCTTGTGTGTTGACTGTGTACAACTGTGCAGATGAGTGCAGTCAAAAATTGCCACCACTGAAGATATGGTAAATATAATAATGTTCCTTAATTCCAATATTAATAACTTAAATATAGATTCTTTAATAACATAAAATAATTGTTATAATTATATTTGATTAAAATATTAATAATTTCCAAATTCGTTATTTTATATTAAATACATTTAAAACTTAAATACAAATCAATTTTTTAATCCTATTATTTCTATGACATACACATACGAGATCTATATATGTGTTAAATTTCACTCACTGTACAGTAAGTATACTGCACACCAAAACACTGTACAGTGCGTTGACTACTGCACACCAATTTTGCTGTACTCATCAACAGCTGTACAACTATGGAATGAGTGAGAACACTGTCAATCAAAACAGACAATACTAGCCTACTCACTCACACCCAAATATACTGTGCAGAAAAAAAGTGTGCCCACTTCTAGACTAAGTGATTCTATTGTCGTTTTGGATGCATTCATGCAGAAGTCTAGTACAGATTGGTCGAGGTCACTAATGTTGCCTGCCATGCATTTTCAGGGTAGGTCTTGTAGGTCAGCCGGTGCTCAATTTGCCGGCTCGACACTTTGGTAATTTGAAGGTTTGTCTTTTTTGTTTCATTCGAGAAATGTAGATTTTGAATATTTGTTTTAAAATCACGAAACGGCATCTATATATATAAAACTGTTCATTGAAAACTAAGAATCAACGCACAGCCTAAACTAATTAAATGACCCTATTAAAATTTTTTACCATTCAATTCTTATAACACTAAACTGATTTGCTAAGATTTATTTTGGCCACAAACATGCCCCCATTTTCTTCCAGTGGCAAAAAACCCCCAATTTCTAAAAAAAAAATTTGACGCTAAACGCGTTAATCAATCGATGCGATTTTTGGCCAAAATTTAGTCCTCTACATAATGAAGATTCTATTTAATTTAATATTGGATATTTTTACTATTGTTTACTATTTTTTATCGATTTTTGAAAATCTAAGAATCTGCCTCAATTTTCCTAACGGCAAAAAAACACTGATCTAAGTCAATTAGCAATATGAAAATTTATCGAGGGAATCCTGATACTTTAAGGATTCATATGGTGGTTTTACTGAAGCTCTAGGTCAATTCTAAAAAAAAGTTACATTAGCCTAAAGTAGAAATAATAATTCCAACAAATTATACACAAGCATTGAACACCGAATGCATTCTCTCGCACTGTCTCTCTCTCTCTCTATGACTCTGTGTAGTACAATATTTGTGCGGCGGCTGATCTTGATTTCTTTTTAAAACTTAAAATTAAAAACTTAAAACTAAATTAAACTTAACAATAAATTAACAATAAATTAAAATTAAATTATACCAGCAACACACACGAATAAACCCCGTCAAAGCGTTGGAAAAAGGGCAGGGGGGCAGTCATCATCTCCATATATAAAGCTATCAGTAAGAAAACTGGGAATCAACGCACAGCCAAAACCACTGGTTAACAATATTAATATGCATTTTTATTACATTCTAATAACTTTAAACTGATTTGCTAAGATTTATTGGGGCTCCCCAAGTGGCCCCAATCGCTTCCAATTGCAAGAAAGGTCAATTTTCCTTTCAAAAATTCTGGACGCTAAACCGTTTTAGCAATCGAATCCGTGTTTTCGCCCAAAAATAGTTTAAGACATGATAAATGTTTAAAAAATTTGACCGCTTAGATTTAAGGCTTTTTACTATTTTTAACACCCGTCCTAAAATTACAATTTAGCCAAAAATATCTTCAAACGTCGAAAAATGGCTCTTCTAAACTGAGTATCAAATATCTTCTAAACAAAGAAACTAAGCAAAAAGTCGATCTATTATCGAATTCAAGTGTCTCCATAAGCATCATACGTTTTCTGATATGAGTGCAAAAATGGAAACCGAACGGCTTAATTATATTTGAGCAAATCAAAAAAAGTTGGGAGCAGAAAGTTACATATGTACATCTTCAAGACGCTATAGGTAGGGGAGATGCAGATATGACTCAACTTGGTCAGATGGTGATTTTACCTTCAACTTTTACAGGCTCTCCTCGATATATGCATGAAAAGACCCAGGATGCTATGACTTATGTCCGACATCATGGCCGACCTGATACTTTTATAACATTTACCTGTAACCCTAAATGGGAGGAAATAACGAATGAGTTGTTTCCAGGCCAAAATCCTCAGAATCGTCATGATCTGATATCTCGAGTCTTTCATTTAAAAGTTAAAACATTAATGGCGCTGTTGGTTAAAGGCCAATTGTTTGGTGAAGTACAGTGTTTTATGTATTCTATTGAATGGCAAAAACGTGGTCTGCCCCATGTCCACATACTTATTTCATACATAAGAAAAGTAGGATATTGGGGTTATCCATCGCAAGCGAAGCTGCGTGCATGGTGCCCGCAGCGCCATTAATGTTTTAACTTTTAAATGACTTTTTTCATGCATATATCGAGGAGAGCCTGTAAAAGTTGAAGGTAAAATCACCATCTGACCAAGTTGAGTCATATCTGCATCTCCCCTACCTATAGCGTCTTGAAGATGTACATATGTAACTTTCTGCTCCCAACTTTTTTTGATTTGCTCAAATATAATTAAGCCGTTCGGTTTCCATTTTTGCACTCATATCAGAAAACGTATGATGCTTATGGAGACACTTGAATTCGATAATAGATCGACTTTTTGCTTAGTTTCTTTGTTTAGAAGATATTTGATACTCAGTTTAGAAGAGCCATTTTTCGACGTTTGAAGATATTTTTGGCTAAATTGTAATTTTAGGACGGGTGTTAAAAATAGTAAAAAGCCTTAAATCTAAGCGGTCAAATTTTTTAAACATTTATCATGTCTTAAACTATTTTTGGGCGAAAACACGGATTCGATTGCTAAAACGGTTTAGCGTCCATAATTTTTGAAAGGAAAATTGACCTTTTTTGCAATTGATTTTTACCAAACTTGGGGAGCCCCAATAAATCTTAGCAAATCAGTTTAAAGTTATTAGAATGTAATAAAAATGCATATTAATATTGTTAACCAGTGGTTTTGGCTGTGCGTTGATTCCCAGTTTTCTTACTGATAGCTTTATATATGGAGATGATGACTGCCCCCCTGCCCTTTTTCCAACGCTTTGACGGGGTTTATTCGTGTGTGTTGCTGGTATAATTTAATTTTAATTTATTGTTAATTTATTGTTAAGTTTAATTTAGTTTTAAGTTTTTAATTTTAAGTTTTAAAAAGAAATCAAGATCAGCCGCCGCACAAATATTGTACTACACAGAGTCATAGAGAGAGAGAGACAGTGCGAGAGAATGCATTCGGTGTTCAATGCTTGTGTATAATTTGTTGGAATTATTATTTCTACTTTAGGCTAATGTAACTTTTTTTTAGAATTGACCTAGAGCTTCAGTAAAACCACCATATGAATCCTTAAAGTATCAGGATTCCCTCGATAAATTTTCATATTGCTAATTGACTTAGATCAGTGTTTTTTTGCCGTTAGGAAAAATGAGGCAGATTCTTAGATTTTCAAAAATCGATAAAAAATAGTAAACAATAGTAAAAATATCCAATATTAAATTAAATAGAATCTTCATTATGTAGAGGACTAAATTTTGGCCAAAAATCGCATCGATTGATTAACGCGTTTAGCGTCAAAATTTTTTTTTAGAAATTGGGGGTTTTTTGCCACTGGAAGAAAATGGGGGCATGTTTGTGGCCAAAATAAATCTTAGCAAATCAGTTTAGTGTTATAAGAATTGAATGGTAAAAAATTTTAATAGGGTCATTTAATTAGTTTAGGCTGTGCGTTGATTCTTAATTTTCAATGAACAGTTTTATATATATAGATAGATTATAGAATATATAAACCTTATATATATACTGCAATTTTAATACCCTCTGAAAGTGTATAATAAAAATGGGATTAATCCGGTTGGGCATTGAAGTCCCATTCCTGGATGAATGCCTTTTTGAAGTCATTTATCGTGTCAAATTGGCGACCATTAAAAACTTTATGGGAAAATCCAAGGATTGGGCTTAGATAGGTACATATCTTTCTAGCTGCCATTTGTTATACGAGCCGTGTGGATGAATACGGCGATCTTCCTTCGACAAATATATCCCACGAGGGATTCTGCCGTTTAATCAAAATTATTACTCATTATTTTATTCTACATTAAGCATTAAACAACAATTTTACTTACGTTCCCCTGATTAAAGCATATTTTTAAATCACACTTCTTAGCTTAATCGGTATCAATAGCACACTAATCTGAATTAGTACATAAATTGCGTATAAAAACCGCAAGTTCCAGCAAATATTTTTAAAAACGGTACAATGAATAACGCCTAAAGAGGACAATTTAAGTAGGGGTATTCATAATAGGTAAGAATACAAGCTTGAATACCTACAAAAACTGTAACTTAAAAAAATATAATCAAATTGAAAAGTGCACATATAGGTACTTCTTTACCTGAGGTATTTATACCTAGAGTTTCACATCATATGATAAGTAATTTTTTTGAATCCAAGAAAAAACCGCGATTAATAGCACCTGGGAAAAAGTGGCTATTTACAAAATAACCTTATAAAATGAAAATGATTTTTATAAAAAATCACCCAAGCCCCAATTAGCAAAATTGTAAAAAACAAGAAAAGAAGCAAGCCGAAGTTTATGTACTCTTGCAGCTATTACAAATCGACTACATTTCGATTTCTAGGCCTATATTATTAAAAACAATGAAGCTATGTTGATTTTGCGCTGCATTTGGCCATCCTTTCTATGACAGCTATATGATATTGTTATCCGATTTTAATAAAATTAAAACCGTAATTCCATAATATTTAAATATTACCAAATCCCAAAGAACAAAAAACCACAAAGTTCAATTTTTTTCAATTTATTTCCCGATTGTTCTTATGGGAGCTGTATGATATAGTTGCCCGACCCGGCTCGTTCCGACTTAATAGAAAGGCAACTTTTGGGAAAGTTTCAAGCAGATATCTAGATCGACTCTCCTGGTGATGCTTATCAAGAATATATATACTTTATATGGTCGGAAATGTCTCCTTCATTGCATTGCAAACATTTGACTGAAATTATAATACCCTCTGCAAGGGTATAAAAATATATCTGCCTGTCAGAACGTGAGAAATCTTTTCGTCTCTTTTAAGGAATTATTTAAACAGTCACGTGTGGAGCCCTATTCTCGGCGTAAAAACGAGATCGCGAGTGGTATAAAAGTACAATATAGAAACGGACAGAGTAAGCTAAAATATAATGTTTACAAAACAAAATACTAATACTAATTTCGTGCTAAATAAAATTAAATTAATGATTTTAAGATTGGCAAAGAGTCGTTAGTATAAATAATTTGGTATAGTATCTGTTGGGCCACTATTGAATCTTGAGAAAAACATGAATGTAATTTTGAAGTATTAATTTTCTTGAAGTGTATGGATCTAATTTGTTAACCTGAGCTGCGCTCTCAGTGGTAAAGCTTAAGATCTCGCTCTCATGTAATTCACCACACTGGCCACGAAGGCTATTATCCAACGTAAGAATAAAGAGTTCAATTTTGGTACTGCGACAAGACGGTTGGATTTGCTTCATTAACTTAACTATCCCCCCGACTCCCTACAGTCTCATGTGGGTCAGGAAAACGCTCCTGCTCCATCAAACATTTTGGCGCCCAGCGTGGGGCAGGATAGTTAATTTAAAAAATTTTAAAAATTAAAAAAAAAAATCCTTAGTGTTCAAGTCAACCTGATCGCCCAAAGTTAATTCCGTAAGCCGCGCATTGTTACGTTACGATTCGCGCTACTTCATACATATGTGATGCGCTGCTCAACGTTCACCTAACGACACACGCACACTTACATCCGTAGACACGGCAGTACAACCCCCATACACCATCGTTGGAAGGCGCGGGTTGCTCAGAAGATCTGGATTACGCTACGCTGTTCCCAGTCAGCTACGCCACTTATATTCTCGATTGCGGAGCCGAATCTCCATCGCCCCATCGACAATATCATCTCTAACCTGGAAAATCGTTTTGCTGGACTACGTAACGCCACAACGGTAAGGTTACGTCATCAGTGCCAACGCTGCCAGAGCTCTCACGCCAATCGCTGAGTCTCCTTTGGTCTCATTCCGCCGTCACTGTAGTGCTTTTGGTTTAAACCTGCAAGTCCACTGTACACGCGTACAGTCACCACGAGTGCCAATAGCAGTCACCGCGCAACGCATCAACCTGGAACTGGTTCATTGCGGAACCAAAGCGCTGCCATATATTGAACTACACAAGTTGGCAGCATACGTCTATAACCACACACCAGAAGCTCTAATTTATAATTACATACACTTTACAAGGGCTTATTGTAAGTAAATCACAATAACCATGTGTCCCACACCGCTAGACGTATTAAAACAAAAGCGATCTAACATACGCAGGAGCATTTCCCGCATTGGAGCAGCAGTCGCCAAGACGGAGAAGGTTGAGAAGCCAAATGCCGCGCTGACGCCAGCCGAACTCACGTGTCGGCTAACTATTTTGGAGGCCTACTTCAAACAAATCATGGCCGTCCAAACCGAAATCGAGGCACTCGACTCAACCGAGGAACAGCTAAACTACCGGGCCGAGCTGGAAGATCTGTTCATCGCTACAAAGGTGACCATAAAGGATCAGCTTGGAGACGACGTGCACAATTCTACGCCGCTCGCCCAAGACACGCTACTCAGGCCTGGACCAACATCATCTCTTAAGCTACCAACTCTTGCGCTCCCGACCTTTGCTGGCGAGTACGCGGAATACAGAAATTTTATTACTACGTTCCTGCAAGTTGTAGATCAGCAGGAAGCGCTATCGCCGATCGAGAAGTTTAATCACCTCATAAACTGTCTCAGAGGCGCCGCCTTAGAAACCATCAAGGCGTATCAAGTCACTCCAGAGAATTACAGCAAGGCCTTACTTCGCCTAAAGAGCAGGTACGATAACCCCACCATCGTATTCCTGGACAACATAGCGTCACTCTTCAAATTGCCAACTGTGACCACCGAAAATAGTGTACAGTTGCGCAGCCTGGTTGACAACGCATCAGCGTTGTTTAACTCGTTGCGATCTTTAGGATCCGAAGCGCAGATAGCTCAAACGATGTTGATTGCTATTGTCATGGAAAAGGTAGATAAGAGAACCCGGCAGCTCTGGAACGAATCTCTCACGTTCGCAGCACTACCCTCTTGGAATGCCTGCCTCTCCTTGATTGAACGGCACTGCCAACACTTGGAGTCCTCAATACATCACATCGGCAATCCGAATACGGCTCAAAATACATCCGGCAGAACGCGACAACCGCAAGCTCCACGCATGGGCCACAGCTTTACGTGCTCCACGCAAGCGTGTCCTATATGCTCTGGCAGGGATCATCGGATTTTTAGATGTTCGCGACTGCAAAACATGTCGCCTGCCCAACGTCTAGAAGCTGTCCGGACAAAATCGCTGTGCACAAACTGCCTTGGAAAGGCTCATCATCCGTCAAATTGTCCATCTTCAAATAGGTGCAGAATATGTTCACGGCTGCATCACACTATGCTTCACTTCGATCCGTCAGGACAGGAATCCAGGAGTCCTAGGCGGCCAAGTCCGACTAATGCGCCACCTCAGCACCATGTCGCTGAGGCCGTCGCTCACGCACACGTGGATACCCACCACGACCAAATCATTCTGGCTACAGCCATAATACTAGTGCAGGATGCTGTGGGCAACTACGTACCAGGACGTGCACTACTGGACTCTTGCTCCCAAGTTAACTTCATGTCCGAAGACTTCGCTCAACAACTTCGTTTGCCCCGAAGCAAGGGACTTATCGACATTCGAAGCATTGGCGATTCTTTCACCCGCATCAAGCATCGCATTTCGACCGTTGTAAAGTCACGATTCGGTGAAGCAGAGTTACCCGTCGAATGCTGTATAACCTCGAGAATCGCCTATCAACCCGATGCAGAAATCGACATTTCATCATGGAGCCTCCCAGACAACGCTCCACTGGCTGATGAGAGATTTTATCAGTCTCGCCATATCGACCTTCTTCTTGGCACAGAAACGTTCTTCACCGCTTTGTCTATTGGCCAAATCAAGTTGGGTCCCCATCTCCCCATGTTGCAAAAGACGATCTTTGGATGGGTAGTATCAGGGCGTACCGGCAATCAAGGCCATGCCGCCCAAGCCCATAGTTTCCTTTCATCAGAGGATTCAATAAACCTGAACCTGGAGCGCTTATGGCGCATAGAGGAAGTTTCTACTACGCCATTAACACTTACTCCACCGCAAGCTAAATGCGAATCGATCTTCCAAAAATCTGTCTGTCAGGTAGCGGATGGAAGACTGATGGTTCAACTGCCCTTCAAGGATGACCCTAATCTGTTGGGAAGGTCTCTTGAAACAGCACGGCTAAGATTTGCATCGTTGGAACGTCGCTTAAGCCGAAACGCGAATTTGCGAGCCGAATACACGAATTTTATGGAAGAATATGAGCGCTTGGGTCACATGGAATTAGTAACCAGCCCACTCCTCAACGAACCCCACTACTACATACCACACCACTGCGTGTTTAAACTCAACAGCACGTCAACTAAGCTAAGGGTAGTCTTTGACGCCTCGTGCCCAACAAGCACCTACAAGTCCTTAAACGACATCCTTCTAGTTGGACCCACGATTCAACCAGACTTGTTTACAATCTTACTAAGGTTCCGGACTCATCGTTATGTACTAACTGCTGACGTCGTCAAGATGTACCGGCAGGTATTAATTGATCCATCGCATCGTAAATTTCAGTACATCTTATGGAGAAGCTCCAACGACCAGGAGATTCGCACATACCAGCTGAACACCGTTACTTACGGCACCGCATCAGCGCCGTATCTAGCAATTCGCAGCCTGTCTCACCTCGCCAATCAACATGCAAGTTCACATCAAATTGGAGCAGAAGCCATAAAATCGTGTTTCTATGTGGATGACTTTCTCGGTGGAGCAAATAAGCTAGATCAATTGAACCAGATTCAAACCGAAGTCATCGCTATCCTCACGGCCGGCAAGATGGAACTGGCAAAATGGCACTCCAACCATCAGGATTTCGTCAATGATACAACGGTCAAGGAGCTAAATCTCGACGACTACGCTACGACAAGCACATTGGGACTGAAGTGGGACCAACGAGAAGACATCTTCAAATTCTCATTTAACTGCAGCACAGCTCCGGAAAGTATCACAAAGCGAACCATTCTCTCGGTGGCCTCATCCCTCTTCGATCCGCTGGGACTTGTCTCGCCAGTTATTATGGTGGCAAAAATCCTTCTACAGGAAATTTGGCTTCTTAGATTGCATTGGGATGAATCAGTGCCAATGACACTCCAACAAGCGTGGCTATCGTTCGTGTCGTCGCTACAGCATTTGGACTCTCTGCTCATCCCACGTTTCTGCCTGCAGCCCCATTCAGATGAGCTCCAACTTCACGGCTTCAGCGTTGCTTCAATAAGAGGGTACGGATGCCGATGGCCACGTCGAAGTTCATCTAATCGTCTCAAAGTCGCGTGTGGCACCAACGAAGAAGAAGACGCTGCCGCAGCTCGAGCTCTGTGGAGCGCATCTTCTAGCACGACTCTACAACCAGATAAAGACAGCCTTTCTACAACACACGCCCGAGACGTTTCTGTGGACAGATTCACAGCTGGTGTTGCATTGGATTCGACAACATTCTGCAACACTTTCTACGTTTGTCGGCAACCGGATATCCGATATCCAAGAATTCACTCCAGACTGTCAATGGAGGTTCGTTCCGACACGGCACAACCCAGCTGACATGATCTCCAGAGGATGCAACCTTTCAGAACTCACCAACTCAACATGGTTCCACGGACCTACATTTCTATCAAATCTGCCGACATCATGGCCACCTAATGTACACGGCAATCTGGACATGGATGTCGTATTTTCAGAAAAACGCAAATCAGCATTCCTTGCATCGACATCGACTTCCAGAAATAGAGTCTTGGAAGCCCTCCACAACAAGGAATCACACCAGTCTGGCCTAAGATTGGTAGCATGGATGCTTCGATTTTGCGACCGATGTCGGAAGAAAAACCCCTTCACTACGAGGTCACTTTCCCCACTGGAACTGCGAAGGGCCATGCTTTGCGTCGCATGGAACCTACAACAGCGATATTTCATCGAGGAAATAACTCTCTTGCAAAAAGGCGCGCCGGTTCGTAGCCATCTTAAATTCTTATCGCCCTTCTTGCAGATCACAGATGGATTCAACCTACTTCTCGTCGGAGGATGATTGGAGCTCGCATCGATCCCAGACACCCACAAGCATCCTATATTGCTTCCCGCTAAGGATGTTGCTGTCGTCAACTACGTACGTCATCTACACCTGCGGAACTACCACGCTGGACCAAGGGTCCTGGTGGGACTAATGCGGCTGGAGTTTTGGGTCGTGAATGCCCGAGATGTCGCTCGTCGTGTTGTACGCAACTGTGTCCACTGTGTGCGCTACAGGCCTAAGCTGCTGCAACAACTTATGGGCAGCCTCCCAGTCGAGAGAATTACCCTGTCAAGACCATTTGCTCGATGTGGAATAGACTTCTGCGGGCCGGTTCATACCTATCTACGCGTTCGAGGAAAGGTGCCCGTTAAAAGCTACATCGCAATATTTGTGTGCTTCGCCACAAAGGCGGCGCATATCGAAATCGTCGGAGACCTATCAACTGATTCGTTCTTGGGTGCTCTGAAGCGGATGATCGCCAGACGTGGTCTACCTGCAGACATCTTTTGCGACAATGCGACGAATTTTGTAGGCGCGAGCAACAAGTTGCAAGACCTGAAGGACTTTTTCTTCAGCACCAAGAACCAGCAAGACATTATATCGTACTGTACAAACGAATTACATACCTCCTAGGGCTCCACACTTTGGCGGCCTCTGGGAGGCTGCCGTTAAAAGCGCCAAGAATCTCTTGTACCGCACGCTCAAGGATGCCCGATTGACCTTCGAGGAGCTCTCAACTGTCGCTGCTGAGACTGAGGCGATCCTAAACTCTCGCCCGCTCTCTCCACACTCATCGGATCCCAGCGATTTGGCCGTCTTAACGCCTGGTCATTTCTTAACCGGGGACGCTCTTCGAGCACTCCCAGACTGGCCTGTCAAGGATGATCAGATCAACTGCTCTCAACGATGGAAGCGTGTCAGCGCCATCAAGCAACACATCTGGAGGCGCTGGTCTACGGAGTATCTTCACGAGCTTCAGGCCAAATCAAACTGGACGACTGGATCTTCAAATATTGCAGTCAACGAAATGGTCCTAATCCACGAAGATCATGTCCCTCCTCATCGATGGCTGTTAGGTCGCATCGAAGCAACTATACCAGGTCAGGACAACCACGTCCGGGTCGCGGATGTTCGGACGTCAAAAGGAATCATAAGGCGACCGATTCACAAATTGGCCCGTTTACCAATTAATTTAAAGTAACTAGGTACTTTCAATGGGGCCGGAATGTTGGGCCACTATTGAATCTTGAGAAAAACATGAATGTAATTTTGAAGTATTAATTTTTCTTGAAGTGTATGGATCTAATTTGTTAACCTGAGCTGCGCTCTCAGTGGTAAAGCTTAAGATCTCGCTCTCATGTAATTCACCACACTGGCCACGAAGGCTATTATCCAACGTAAGAATAAAGAGTTCAATTTTGGTACTGCGACAAGACGGTTGGATTTGCTTCATTAACTTAACTATCCCCCCGACTCCCTACAGTCTCATGTGGGTCAGGAAAATGCTCCTTCTCCATCAAACAGTATCCACAAGATTTTTAGGCCAAGGAGGCTTCCTTGTCGAACTCCTGAAATTTAAAATTTACGTTCAGTGTTAACCAAACCATAAAACTCTTACGATCCTGTGAAAATTGGTTAGTTTTTTAGGAAAAGCTCTAAGATTAAATGTTAGACATCGTACAGTAGTTCTCAGTTCTTTTTAAACACCCAATCTGATTAGATAAAATCAAATTGCAATAGTCAAAGTACAAGATTTTTCAGGTAACGCTGTCGAGTTTTTATTTTTTTTCGATTTTTTAAGGCACTTGAAAGTCAAAAACTGCGATTTTTTTTTGTTTTTAAATAATAAATTTAAAAAAAAACTCTACATCGTTACCTGAGGAATTTAGTAGAGATTTATTTGATATAGATTCTTTTTCTGGTTAATTCGCTGCAAAATCGGACCATTTGTACAATTTTTTATTGCCAATACGAATAGTCTCTGTAAAAAAACTATTGAAAAGTAAGTGAGATATAGGCAATCTCTCTCACAGAATCATCTGAATTGAAAAATCAAATTGTTTTATTTAAAGAACAAATTTTCCCAGATAACGCTGTCGAGTTTTAATTTTTTTTTCGATGTTCAAAGAATTTAAAAGTCAAAAACCTTGATTTTGCCTAAAAATCTGAGTTATTTGTTGTTGTGAAAATTATAAATTTTCCCAAAAAAACAAAAACAGGTACGACAGCGTTACCTAAGGAATTCAGTAAAGAAGTACTGTGCAAAATTTCAAAAAGATTCGTCCAATAGGTTTTGCAGCATCGTGTACACCGATTTTGAAAATGGCAACTTTTCAGGAGAGGGTTTTAATGTTTTGGTCACCATAACTTCGGAAGTTCTACTCGGTTCAATCTAAAATTTTAACACAATATTCTTAAAATGTTGTGCATACAGTGAAAAAAAATGGAAACAAAATTTTAATTCTGTACCTTTTCCTTAAATAATTTTGATTGGATTAATCAGCTTATGCGGACAAACTACTTTTTGGAAAACAACAAAAAGCACTTTAACAATAAATTTCAGAAATCTTATGGTCAAAGAACTTTACTGCCAGATAGATGCAATCTTTATAGTCTCTAAAAAGGTCTTTTTAGTTTGACAATTTTGTAATTTTTTAAAAATCTATTAGCTCAGCGGATTGTAGAGTGAAAGTAAAAAAGCACATCGAGAGGGCATAGTGCTGACAATTTAAAATAAGTAGGTATTAATATTTTCAGATTTCTAGGCCAATGCTATTGTGAAAGTTATCTTAATAGCAGTGTTAGTAAGAGAATAACAATGTGTTTTATGAAAGTGCTACAAGTGCTCTTAAAGACTCTGCCCCAGGCATTGAAATAGCCTTGAATAGCGGTATTTTTATGCCCGGGCAAAGCAGAAATTTCATCGTCTTGGTTTTCTGGCGGGTATAAGCAGAAGAAGTCAATATACATGTGTTGCTTTTAGGTGAGCCGCCTGTCCAAAATAAGCTCAAGGTACAGGACACAGCTACCACAACATAATTACGTTTGCCTAACGAATTACGTTCTCCAATGGTGCCCGGATTTCCTTGCCAAAAATTATTTTGCAGAAAAGATTGCTGTCGACCGCTCTAAGGCATGTATAAATTATATTAGTTTCTCCCATATTCTTGGCCACACCACACCTTGATACATTTCCCGAATGCTCAACAAGTTTTTACAGACACGGCAAAACGCAACATTGATTTTTTAATTTTGAGCGCACTTCCCCACAACTCACAGCTCGACCACCACTGGTTCCACCGGGCAGTCAGGTTTAGTTCGTTCTCTCGAGCCCCCTTTTCACGGAAAATTTCGTTCAAGGAGAACAAATCTATGAAGATGATGTACAAAAGGACACGAGACGATTGTCGGAGCACTTTTCAATCTGCAGAAATGGGGCTACAAAAATTGAAAACCAACCATCAAATATACCAACTCCAGATCTTTCTAATAATAACATCTTCAAAATAGACAACAAAGACTCATTCAACACATTAGGGTTGTATTGGCATAAATATGTATACGGGCAATCCTTCTTTCGATCCGTGGCACCAGTCATTATCTCTTTCAAGATACTCTTGAAAGATGCTTGGAATTTTCGTCTACCCACAGAGTCCTAGGATTGGGACGACTCCTTGCCAGATGTACTTGCCAAACGATGGCAACAGATCATACAAAACCGCTCAGATATTCAACATATCTACATCCTCGTTGATTGATAACGACTTAAAGAACGTTTCATCTTTACATCTTCACATGTTTTGAGACGGATTATTCTTGAAGTGTGCTGCATGCTTTTAGGGTCAATGTACTGATAGAACCGTAACAATCCTAGCACTTCACAGTCGCGTCACGTCGACCAAGTCACTAACAAGCCATTTCAAAAGTGAAATTAGCCTGGGCAATAATCTGTACGTAATTAGCCAAGTTGATCTGTGAAATCTGATCTTTTGATCTTTTTCGAAGCGTTCTGTGAAATTAATTTATTTGTGTAAAACACCATTTGAAAAGAAAAAAACAAATGGAAACTGATCTCACAGGTTTGTACCATATGTTAAATGTATTAATTGTTTAAATTGTGCGTGTTTATACTAACATTTTGTAAGTTTATAAATGCACCTTAAGCTGAATTTTGAGGAACAAATTTCAACTTCGGGAAGAGTTTTGAAATAGAAGTTTGTATTAGTTTTCAGTGCGTCCAAGTGTATGTTGTAGCGTTGTCAATTCTGAGCAAAAATCTGTTAGTCTTATTGTGCACATTTCCGGACTATTGGTGCAAATTGAAGTTTTCTTAGATAACCTCACTTTCTCCAACGCGGACTTGGTTGCTGTTTGGAATAGCGAGAAGGGCCGGCTTGAGCAAGAAAAGGCTACACAATGTTTGATGAACAAATTATTTATAATATGAGGAACATTTTGATACGTTTGACCTGTCAGTTGCCCGTCAATTTGGACAAATTCGAATCATTTTGCATAAAAACTGGCGATAGTCGATATGTATACGATATGTATACGTGGCTGCCGATGAGATTTGAGTTTGATGGAATTTTTTCTTTTTGCTTTTGTTGCACTTATTATCATCCACTTTTATAGGCATAGAGCAACAAATTTCAGCTCCTTAAATTTTATAAATTTTTTTTTAGTTTTAACCGATTGTTCCTATGGGAGCTATTGTTTCCTGATCCGAACGATTTTCACAATATATGTGGCAAGGGACAAATAATGACGATTTGTAAAGTTTCATGTCGATATCTCCAAAACTGACCGAGTTATTAATTAATGGCACAAAAACAGGTCAAAAATCCCATAGTGCAGTGGTAAGAGCCTTGGATGAACTAAGCACCTGAAAAATATTGCCAAAGGGCTAGACATTTGCAAGCTAAAGGTTGCTAAAGGTTCCGCCACCAGAGGAGATAAAATAAAACAAAAACACAAAAATGTTTTAAGCACTTAAAAAATGCACTAATAAAAGTATT